TATAAATGAAATTGACAGGTGGAAAGATACGCCACTCGAGGACTTTGCATTGAATTGTACAGGTCGTATTGCCCATCCACCCATTCCTTAAACTGTCAGTCTTAGACAATCTGTTCTGACTTTAAATAGCCATTATTTTATTTACCTACAACAAGATAAGCAAAATGTTAGAATATAACTGTTGTCAGTGAATTAAGCACGTTTTTAACTTTACTGGCAGTAAAGCTTTTTGGTTGTTGTTATCCGTAGATATCGACATGTTAATAATCTAGTAATTATAAAAGTACACCAAAATTAAAAAAAACATTTGAAAAATACATATCAAAGCATTGATGAAGCATCAAGTGCTCTTTGAGTATCATTCATTAGATTACTGAATTCAAAATAATATTTCACAGTTTGGCTGAAAAAAACCTGCCAGGTATGTTCAAAACGTTCGTGGACCGTGGCTCGACGGTTCACATCTTTTAATTGGCGTTCACAATTTTACAAGAGACGTAATTATATCTGAATATAACTTTCTATACAGTAAAAGAATCCTAACAATATGAGAGTCCACGAGGTTTTTTTTTAACGTACTAAGTATTACTAAGTACTAAGGACATGAATGGTGACATGTCTCCAGGGTTTGTACTCTCAATAGACCGTCATTAAGCCAAGAAAAAAATCATACACATTTTGTAATGGTATCATATCGGTCTTTTGTCTTCTATCGCCCGTGGATGAGCGTTATCTTTCTGAGATGATCAATGATTGATTTAAACTTACTTTCACAGGAATCATTCTGATCTAATCATCTTCAAAATGTATATTATTTGGCCCAGTTTGTTCCAAATGTTGGTCAAAGAAGTAAAAAAAGACCTTTAGAATTTAAAAAATTGCATCTTTAAGTTATTGAATAGTGTCAGTTAGGACAACAGATTTTGTAGCACATGTAATTCTAATACTGGCTATTTTACTGAGGTTTTATGCGATTGACAATTTCAGTCTACTTTCTTTTTTCAGGCAACGTGGAAGGAGTTTGTGATGCATAACTTGTTTTCTACTGTAATGCTGGGAGACACGTTCAAATTTGATATAGAAATACAACAAAACGATTTGTAAATGTTGCTTCTTAATGCTTTATAAAATGCTTTGATAACCTAAGAATTAGCATTCTATTTCGTCTCGTTTAAGCACGTAAAATAAATAGTTGTAAAAATGGTAATGCTTTGCAAAATGGTTCCTGTTTTCTTTTCTTTTCAAAGTTAGATAGTGTTTTTGTAGTCAATTTGTTGCATTGCCGTTCGTATTTTTTTATTATGATGATACAATGTCAGGGTAGCATACATTAGAGGTTGATCGATTTTACAGGTTAACTATAGAGTTCCAAAAATATGGTACACAGTCACGACTGCTCATCTTCGAAGCGACATCAAAAACTCTCACACTAAATGATCATTTTGGCAATGTATTTGGAAATGTAATCACACCAGCGTTCCCGTTTACGACTTCCAAAGAGTACAAAGTTGTGTTCGAGATATCCGAATTGCACTGGCAGGTAAGTGCATTTATCTCGCTTTTTACTTGATACCAGCTCTCGTTTCCTTTTACGCCCATCAAAGAGTACAAACTTGTGTTCAAAGTATCAAATGCTCGTTTATTCCTTAATATACACCCTCTCCAATTTCATTCGTTTACAATACTAACTTTACTTGATTCTATAATGCAATGTTCATATCAAAGGTCTGGAATATTTTGTCTAATTTAACCATTGATACAACAATAATTTAACCGTTGATACAAAAACGAATTCATCGTGGGCTTATCCAGCTATTTTAGTTTGAAGTCCTGTATAATTCGATCTATTTACATATTTACACGTAACTTAAAAAATGTTGTAGATTACCACATAGATAAAATCATTAAAAGGATGAAGAATGTCTTTTTTGTCAATTTCACTCCGGATAGAAATAAAAATTATTGTAAAAAATTACATTTAAGAAATAAAGCATGTTAAGGGTTGTTTTTAAAAAAACAATTATAACAACTTTGGTCATCTTTTTCTTTTCTTTTTTTTTTCTTATTTCAGATTTACATCGATGACGTGGCCTTCACCACATTTCCACATCGTCATCCTTACGCGGACCTGCACAAAATTGTAGTAATGGTTGGACCTGGTGTAAACTATCTGTCGAAGTTTTCGGATCCAAAAATGCCATGACCTGATATGACATTGCAATAGTTTGCGCTTTTATTGCTTCGTAATTAATGTTTGAATTGTTTTCTACTATAGCAGTGAAGTTAGACCGATGAATCTTTAATATTATATCTAATGATCTTAAAATGTTTATCTCTTAATTTTATATATCTTTATCTTAAGCAGCATTTCATGTATCAAGATTACAGGTCAATATAACCAAATTTTTAAGATGACAAACTATCTGAAGTGATCTTGCACAAAAACGTGCTACAATTGATTTAATATATGAAGTACATTTTCAATAGTATTTAAATAGTGTCATCAGGTGCGAAAAATGAGAATTCAAACTATTAAAAACAAGAGTTTATTGAGCTAAGTATGTTAAAAAAGAATCATTCTTAAAACCATGTCTGGAAACAAAGTTGGGTACCTAGTAAAATGATGTGGATATTTGCATCTGGAAGTGAGTTTGGCATTTTATGTTCTTTGAGGCGATTTTCAGGAGCAGATATTTATATTTGGCGTATTTTCTTCATATTTGTGTTGTATGTTTGTTGTTGTTTATCTATTTATTTATTTTATAAATTTATTTCTTTTATTATTCTTTTCATTTATTAATTTATTCATTTTTCACAGTTATTTTTTTCTTTTTGAGGACGATGTGAGTTTCTCGTCTTACTTAATTCAGCACAAGAGGTTGTTGTTAACACTTCATAAATGTTTGTCAAGTAAAAGATGATTGTAGTTTGTAATTGTTTTGAATTTTCGAATTGTTACTAATTTCATAGACTTGAACTTATGATGTCAGCCTCGTTCGTAACACAATTGTATACAGTTTTCGCGAACTTTAGAAAGCATTACCTTTCTCAAATTCTGGCATGTTTAGGGCTGAGATGTCGATTGTATTTGATAGAGAAACCGAAGACTAAACTTAACATAAAACGTCTCATTTATTGATCTTTTTGTATGCCACACCTGTGTTTTGTACTCCGCCATTTTTGTTACATTTGTGTACACACACACGACGAGCGGTCGCATAGCAACGCTGGGTGCTATACTTCCTGATTAAGTGTTAACTAACTGTATTTAATATGTTTAATCGTTTTCCTTCTAGAAAAATGTACAATTGATGTGTATTTGTTGTTGTTGTATAGGTTTACAATACATTTTATTATACGGAAACTTTTTTTCACCCTCTAATTTAAATAATTATGTGGACCCCACAATAACTTTGGAATGGCTTCCTACACAAAATAAAACTGGGGAGCGTTCCTTCCACACATAAAATCAATGCACCCCACAAATATCTGTTGAAAATTCTTTATATTTTAATTTTGGAAATAATGGTGAAGGTGGCATATAAATAGCCTGCCTGATTTCATACGGTGTCTTTCCACTTTGAATCTTTCATGCACATGCTATTTTGATAATCTTTGAAAAACTGACACGTTGAAATCTTTCACTGACTTATAAAAGTTGTGCATTAAATGTTGGTGTAAACTTGGTGACTTTCTTCTATCATTTAAGGAAAATATCAATGTATGTATTATTGTATTAACTTATAAATATTTTTATATTTATTTTATCTTGGGAACTGACAGAATTGTCTCATTTTAGTGACTTTGTCATGGCTGTCCACCGTGTTATTTCATTTCTTCTAGAATATTTATAATTTACTGATTATTTTTAGTGTTCTAACAATAAATTTATTGACTCTTGAGATATTGTTTACATATTGTTAAGTTTGTTTCCCAAGTTTTTTTTTAATAATGATAAAACAAGTTGGAAGTCCAAATATAAAAGGACCAGCCTATCAAGCACGGATGTCGGCCTTGTTACAGTCGGGTTGATGGGGTAGGGGGGGGCTAGGAGCGGTGCAGCTGTAAATCTTAGCGGACTACGTCTTAACAGCTCATTTAAAGGTTTCCTGAGAGTGATTTCAACAGATTGCATAGCTTTGCTGAAAAAGATCTCGACAGCTCAAGGAAACCCGTCTGGCAAGGGAGATCCTATCAGATCTCAGTTACAGGTCACTACCAAGTGCGCATAATGCACTTATCCTTGCTATTTGTTTTTTTCTGTTTGATACATACTGTAACACGTACATACACACATTGGTTATTTCAATTTTCTTAACATAATATTGCTTATATCGTTTTAGTGCAGATTGTTTTGTTAAGGTAATGTGACGAAAGCCTTTAGAACCTTAACCGATTGCTTTGTCTGAATTCTTATATATTTTATTTTATTATTTACATTGTAAAGCCGTTAGTTAACTTCTTCAGTAATATACTTTTTGAGTAACCGGTGAATTATGGAACGAGAAATTGTTTACCGGTGAATTCAGGAACGAGATATTTGTAACCGGTGAAATAAGGAAAGAGATATTTGTAACCGGTAAATTAAGGAACGAGATAGATATTTGTTACCGGTGAATTAAGGAACGAGATATTTTCATTGATATAATGCTATTATTTTTATCATTTTGTCTATGTCTGAAATTAGATATACTTTGATTACGAGACCGGATATTAAGATGTTATCTGTTCCGGACCCTAAGAGGGCCATCATAAAGATATGGGGCCAAAGGTCGTCTAGATAAACATGAGTGCACAAACACATCATGCTTGTTCATTTTTGTTATTTGAGTTTTATCTATGCGACATAACGCTTCATCTTTACTGAAGAGAGCAAGTCCAGGACAGACCAGATCAGCGGATTACAGTAAAAGGAACCCTGTGTTCTTTACTTTTGTACTACAAAACTCGAATTTTTCAAATCATTTGATATGTTATAGAAAAGAAGCTTTTATGTTTCTTAAATTTATTATGAGAAAAAAATAACATGAAAATCAGCCAAGACCCAAACGTATACAATGATACAGTTTTATAGATTTAAATTAAGAAGTAGTACGACAAAATACATATCTTTCACAGTGTCTAACTGGTTATGTAAATGTTCGACCTACAAGTGCTTTAATATCAACTGTAGCCGGCAGCACCGGATATATGGCAAGTCTTGCAGCACATCTTCAAGAAATATTCTCTGTCACAAAATCGAAACTTCAACACCAGCGGACAATACGCAAAATTGTAGTTGTCAATGCATTCTGAAATCATAAGAAGATATCACATGCTATTTGTGTACAATTCAAATAAAAGCACCACGCCTCCAGATTTATGTTAATTTTCATGAAAATTTTAAAAATATGTCAAAACATGCAAAAAAAGCTCTTACTGCGTTAGTCCTTACTGCCTTAGTAACGAATTAGAAATAAGGTGAAAAATACTGCAAAATAGGTCATAAATCGCACATAACATGGAAATTATTACTTTTATATTGAATATTTTTAGGCCTTCTTTACTTAAAGTGACATTATGCCCATTCAAGGGTATACAGGAAGTGAACGGGTGAAGATCAACATAAGTTTTCATTTTGCCAAAAAAAATTTTAATCTAATAATTAAGTTCACATAAACAATAAATAAAACGCACTGATTCAAACGAAATATCTGTACATATCCATTAGAATTTACCTATAACGCTTAGTTTATAAAGAGAGTGGGGCAGTCTTTTTAAATTTTAGGCAGATTTATAATTTTATCCTTTGCATTTTTCAATATCAACTGTTGGTCAAACACCATTTTGACAGTCCATCTTTTGAAATACAAAGTCAATTCAGCTCAACTTGACTGAAAATATGACCATAATGTCACTTTAAAATCATGGTAATTTTTCTCAAGTTCGATTTTCTTAAAATATTTTGGCTTCTTCTTCAGCTTTAAATAACTACTTTAAAACAAGAATAAGAATTCTTAGTAAAAAGTACAATACGAAAATTTCATGTTACATCATTTTTTATTATAAATCTTCTTAGAATACAATATACAGCATGAAAAGATATCTTTTTTTAGAAACTAGATAGTAAAAACTTTATACACTATGAAGGAATAATAAACGAATTCAACTGGTACATAATTTACCTTTGCTCAGCAATCTTTTCCAAAGTTTATAACATTACGTTTAACTTTAGGTAAATTACTTTTATAGCAGAAATTTAATGATATCTAGGCAATTCTTACTGAATAACTTTACTTTAAATATACTTTAAATAAAATATAGCACAAACTTAGTTTGAGAAGCTGCTTTTCCTATTATTGGCCAGACTGAGCCAGAGTTTCGACATTTGAATAATTACAATTTTTAACATCTGTCTATGCACGGACATCCACGAAAAATTGCGACTATTAAGAGTAAAAGGTCATACCATCCTGTGTAGCTAGCTCCTCCTCGCACGACATGTCACACCTCCTCGCATCTATAGGACGACTGTTCGGATCACACTGTTCACTCCTATCGCCATCGTGGGTTTTACACTCGACCTGACGTCGTTGCCATCCTTCCTCACAACGGCCAGCACACTGTTTAAAACAACGATCGATGCATTAAACCATATAAACCAATGCATAAAACCATATAAACAAGGAGCAATACATAAAACCATGCTAACAACATGTAATGATAACTGCATAAAACCATAAAAAACAACGATCAATATGTAGTTTACCGGGTATTAAAAATAAAATAAAATATAAAATGATCTTTTTCTCAGCTAAAGCATCGAAGCACTGTTGTGTAATACTGTGTTAGAATATTTGTAGAATTCTAAATAAAACCAAATGACACGAAATATTTTTTTAAAACATTAATGTGCTCGAGTTATTTCATGCACGAACATTTTTGATAAGAGATAACCTAAATTTTACATACTTTGCTTCCTTAATTTAGATCGATAACTGACAAACCACTGTGCCTGGTGGCATGTAATTGTGTACCATGTTGCTAGCCTACCTGAGTCCAATCGTGGACGAACCACTGAGGTTGAGGGCATGCCATTTTGACACATGTGGCAATGGTTGCAGGCTTTTTACTAGTCTCACACTCGCTGTCGTCGAGATACATGCCTTTATTGTTGGTCATACAGTACACATGGCGGACCATTTCTCCTCGGCCACATCGCTTAGAACACTGAAGAAAAATAATAATAACAATAATAATGATAAATTATGATATTATTAACAAATTAACAATGATACTACAACTACTACTACTAGTTATAATGATAAAAAAATAATAATCATAGACCTAAAGATTATAATACTAATGATAATGGACTTGATAATGATGATGACGATGTTGATGATGGTGATGATGATGATGATGATGACGACGATGGATTAATGTTAATGCGAATTTTTTTCACTGTCAAGTGTAAGAACTGAACTTCCATTATACATTCTTAGCTTAACTATATTAATAGTTTTTTTTCCGTTAGAAACATTTCATAGTACAATATAAAATTGAACACAATTGTGATATATAAAACACGAAATAAAACAAACAATATTAATGCAAAGTCAATTATGTATCTTTTGTTTGACGTTTCAGTCAGCGGAGCCTTATTGCCGTCACACAATCATGGAAGCCTTATTGCCGTCACACAATCCTGGGAGCCTTATTGCCGTCATACAATCATGGAAGCCTTATTGCCGTCACACAATCCTGGGAGCCTTATTGCCGTCATACAATCCTGGGAGCCTTATTGCCGTCACACAATCCTGGGAGCCTTATTGCCGTCATACAATCATGGAAGCCTTATTGCCGTCACACTTTAATGGAGCCTTATTGCCGTCATACAATCCTGGGAGCCTTATTGCCGTCACACAATCCTGGGAGCCTTATTGCCGTCACACAATCATGGAAGCCTAATTGCCGTCACACAATCATGGGAGCCTTATTGCCGTCACACAATCATGGGAGCCTTATTGTCGTCACACAATCATGGGAGCCTTATTGTCGTCACACAATCATTAATATCTTCGTTAAATCAGAAGGTAGGAAGCTGAAACCTGAAACCAAGTGTGATATAATGGATGAGCATATACAATCCGAAAATATCAAATAAATATACAAATACACTTGCAAGAAGAAAATAATCTTTGGGGCTATATATTTTCATGACTCACAGGACATTCTGTCACGTTTGCAACCATTTGACTTGCTTGAACCAAATGTGCAACCACTTCACGTCCTGCTCCTTGTAATTAGAAGATATGTTTATCAAATTAATGTCTTAAAGACGTTGGATTCATGTATTGAGCATGTCCTTTTTATGATTACCTCAAGACTTTTGAAAATACTTTGTAGAAACGAAATATTACATACTGTATAAATCGGACTTTGTACCAAATAAGTACCAAACAACCACACATTTACGCTTTAAGTCTTTACAAAACGATGAGTTTCTGTATTTCCACATTCTTTATTGCTGCTCTTTACTGTCACGTGGCACTAGCAGTAATACATACATCGGCGATTATCAAACAAGTTCAAAAGGTACAGCATGATCTCTCAACCGATCAAATTATTATGTGTGCATATCTGCTCAAGAGTCAACTTGTAGATGGTTTTATATGATGTTGCTTATAAGGTATATAGATATCTTACTTCAGTATATTCTAATGTAGCACGAACAGAACCTGCAAATATGTTGCCGTACAAATCCCAATTCTTGCGGATGAACAAAGTCTGGTCTCTCCTTTTCACATCAAGTTCATTCTCCCTGCTGACTTTGTACGCTACTTTGTAAAATGAGAAACGTATTCGACTATGTTATTACGAGGAGAATGTTGCACACGGATTATCTGGGTCAGTCAATTCGTACAAATATTCTCTTTATAAGCGATTCTAGGTAGCTTAAGGTTATTACTCAATGATCTAACTCCGACTACCTCCTACCGGATTGACGTATCACTTATCTTCTAGATTAATTTCTTTACCAAAAGTTTAGCAAGAATCAGGCTCACTTGGATTTAGCTCTGGAATTGTATTTTGAGAACTATCGCCGTCCTTTTTTTGTAATACTTGTGTCTGTTTTTTTCATAATCACGAACAATCGGCATTGTGAGAATGGTATTAATCTCATGGGCTTTGCAGAGACTCCAAGAGACGATTATTTGTAAAAAGGGATATAAGGAGGGCAGCAATAAAGGAAATGTGGGAATAACCGAATTCGGTTTTGGGTAAAGACTTAAAGGGCGACAAAAAATTGTATGAGTCAGTTGGTTAACTGGTTATAATTATGAGAAAAAGAGTGATTACTCTGACAACTGTTAGTTAGAAATCATACCACATCACGGAGTAAATTTATCACGTTTCAGTTGTTCACTTATGAGAGTCTTTGGCATATGTGTGCCTATTCAACATCTAATGGATGAATATATATATTCCCACATTAGTTTAGTAGATGCATATTGACCTCAATACTGTAAAGTTCACCATCGCTGGTTCCTCTTAGCATATATTCGTAGTCTCCATTATTTACAAAAATAATATCAAATTGATTACAAAGACTTAGCGTGGATAAGTTGAATGTTTAGGCATTTAGGTTTCAGTTCAGATTACTGATATGGGTATTCCAACGGTGAGCAGATATGTTTCTCCCTTTGATGTGTCCATAGAAATTAATTATGTAGTTGGCAAAAGGGAAATTTAGGTTTTCAAATCTTTCTAATTTACCTTTCTATTTGGCGAATGGATTAACGGGTCAGATTAATATATGGCATTTTTGAAATGCAAAATTCTGAAAACTATATAGAGGATGAATTAACTTTCCTTTGGAACTCGAAATATGTATGTTAGCAGGTCCTTAATGAAATATCAGTCATACATGAGTGTCGCATGTCAAATTCACATTAAACAATTTAAATCAAAACTAATCGAGATTGTCTTATTAGCCATTTCTAATAGATTAAATACACAGGAACGTATCACATATTCTGAAAAGTTAAAAAAAAATAAAACACAAATTATGATGCACAAATCAGTAGTAAAGACTATATTAGAGAATGAAAAGAACATATAAAGGACATCCATAGGTATTTATATGGAGTAGGATTACGATAGTTACAGGAGACTTCGCAGTAAATTCAGCATGTTTGATGAGTCACTTAAACGCCGCCTAGGGTAGATTTGTGGTATTGAAACTCTGACAATTTCTACAGAGGATGGTCTGTCTTGTGTGTGTGACGTGTGGGTGAGTGCGCGTGTGCGAGCAGCGAGTCGCGCTGAGTGATGAAGTTTGTAGGCGGGCTGCCCGAGTGGCCTCAAGAGTTTGTGTATGATAAGGCGGCCAATCATATGGACTACTCAAATATGAATAGGTTGTTGAAACGAAGAGAGCATATAAAGGCACCATTCCTATGATTTGGTTTAGGACCGACAGAGCGCCAACCAGGTTTATACTGATTGCAAGTAAGATGTCAATTCCTAACTTCGCGGTAACGAGACTAGTTTTCCAATGGACGAACTTTGTTGTCAAAGTACGGAGATGAATTCTATTGAAAAAAACACCCATGGAGGTGTTCAATTATATCAGAGGCTCCGAGGGTGGAAGATTGCCTTAGGAGATTGTACCTCTGAGTACTAATAAAACTATAACTATGCGCTCCTATATTAACTCAAAATATTGATTATATCGAAAATAGTCGGCATAACTTAAGTCTCACTAGCAGGAAATTGTGCTAGACGAATGCTAAGCAAAAGAGTGAAATTTGCAAAAGAAAAGTCACCAATGCACTTGCTTGTAACTTGTAATAACGAAAGATAGTTTAATACAGGGCTTGATATTCCAGCTGACCATTGTTGTAGGAAACCGTTCCAACAATAACTGAATACTCAAAATTATAAAACTTCAGCAGCAGATATTTTTTCTTAGGAATTTATATTATTGATTTTTAGTATTTAAATATTCTCTGTTGGTCTTATAGATGAAGTTATTAAAAGACAACCAATTGTTGAATAAGGATTATATATCTGTGTTATGAATTGTTAACTCAGTTCTTAGACAGAACTATGTGTTTCCTCTACTCGGAAAGAAGAGAAGACGAGTGTCAAAATACTTTATTCAGTAGCCTAAACAGCTTTAGTATGTTGACTGTGGTCTGTTACCTGACATTGAAACAATAGATCCGTTACTATTCAAAGTTCAAAATCACACCATACGACGTAGCTAATTTTTTTTATTATTCAAAGTTGATTTGATAAATGTTTTGTATCTTTTCCAATAATATTTATGGTTATCAAGATAATAACTCGATTGCAACATCATTCACTATTTTTAAACATAATAAGAACAAAGTAACCACGATACGTTATTCTCAATTTTTTTATCACAGATGGTTTTTCATTCGAGTTAAGAGTTACAGATGCCGGGTTAATGATGTGTTGTCTATCAATAGTTAGCACGATTATTTTTCGTGCTCACTGAACTTGTTGTCGTATTATTTATTGACAGGCGATATGATGACGTCTCACTGAAGACTTATCGCATGGTTATATGTACATGTCGTATTGCCCACTCACCATCCTTTAAACCGTATGTCAGTCTTTATAGATCAATGTGTTTTCTGACCTGTTAGAATTAGTCCTTCATTTATTTTTATTGTAGCTTATACAATCATCAGTATGATCAGACCTAATATGTATGACATGTAGTACTCATATGTGACCATGATGATGTGTCCGGTAGAGTACTATCTCAGCAGTGACGGTATGAAGCGTTTTGGAACTCCTTTTTATATTAGTGGTTATTTTTTCGTGTGTCGGTGCTAGGACGAATTTAAATTGGTAATTATTATGTTCGGATTCTGGCTCGGTTCCATCTGGCTAATTATGTGAAAAGGCTAACATTGCCCTTAACTTAGTTTTGTGAGCTATAATTCTTTAGGTCTAGTTAAAGGTATTATAGAGTAAAGCTTTTCGAGTTAATTGTTTGGTTTGGATTAAACATCATATCGTTTATACTGGCACCAATTAAATGTTACGTTTTATACACTAAAAGTGTTAAATAGATATCTAGATAATATTAAAAAAGTACACCAAATATTAAAAAGCTATATTTGAGTAAATACATATTAAAGCATTGAGGAATATATACAGGTGCTTCCTGTGCGTAATCATTCAT